ACAATTACCTGGATCTGCTTGGCGAGGGACGCATCAACGAGCTGCCTCCACATGTCGTCACTGATGGACCGTCTGGTAAGCCTGCAGGAGGCCAATAGGGCTGCTGAGCGCGTGTCTCAGCCTGTCTTGTCTGTCGGCACTTCGTCGCACACCCCGTCTGTCCCGCATTTAACTCGGTCGTTCGCTGATGCGTTGTCTAGCCAAAAGCATGTCGTGTTGTCTCCCACTGACGTCAAACAAATTCCTCGCCTCAACGGCAAGAGCGAGGTTGACGTGAATTCCGTCCTGTCCCAGTACCGCTTGAGTGCTGGCTGTAAGGTGAAAGGCGCTTACCCCACCAACATGTCTGTCACCGAACTCGAAAAACGCGGTGATGCGGTCGCGTTCGAATCGTTCTCCCTCGTCTGCGATGGCCCCGTGTTGCAGATTTACCAAGAGATGATGTCGGGAAAGATCGATTGTTTCTCCGCCGCCGTCTCTCACGAGACTGTCAAACAAGCGAACTCTTACCCCTCGCCCACCACTTGGGTAGAGCTCAAAGCTGCTCTCCTAGATCGTCTCATGCCCTCCAACATAGTCGAGGAGAGTGCCCTCCGTCTTGTCAACCTTCGTCAAGAGAGCAATGAGAACGTTAGCTCATATGCCCTTCGTCTCCATACTGATTGCACTCGGTTTGAACAAGCCATCGCACGGACTACCCCGGGCCGCTCGCCGTATCAAGCGCTTGCCGTAATTCTGGTCCAAAATGGCCTTGTCCCGAACGTTCGGCCAAAGGTAATAGACAAAAAAAATGTCAAAGCCCTTCGGGAGGCTATCGATCGCGCTCGTACCGAGTCAGCGAATCTGTCTGGTGAAACCCCCGCTGTCAGCGCTGTTCCGCTCACCGCTGTCCCGTCCCGCGCTCGCCTGTCTCAAAATTTTGACACCGCGAGGCAGAACCGGGGCCGCACCCCGGCATTCAGGTCTGCACCCTCGTCGGGTGGTGGCTCGTCCGCCACAGGCAGGAGCTACGCCCCGAATCGGCAACAACCGCGGTGGCGGCCACTCCCGCCGCTCCACCCACAGGGAGCGCCCTCGCTGCTCGCACCCCACGTGCGAGAAGCCAATCGGTCACACTACTGAAACGTGGCTTCCAAAAGAAGGGCGAGGAAGCGAAGGCGGGTCGCAACCGCCGCGAGAATGATCGCCTTATGGTGAAGCGCTCATGTGCGGAGGACGGTACTCCTCGTGAGGAGCATAGCGACGATAGCGATGCGTAGGGTTGCCCAGCTGACGTAGCGCCTGCGGTAGTCGTGATGTCTCCTACACTTGGTAGGAAAGGCGTGCAGAGGAAACTCTCCACGTCAGCAGCTATCGGTACACCCGCTTTTGTTGTGCCCCGTGTCCATGTCTGCAACGGTAGTTGCGTGGTGCCTAGAGTACGTGCTCGTCCTCATGGTGCCGAGAGCAAGCTTGTGGGTCTCACTGGTGGGTCCGAATTACGTGTCCTCGGTGCTTGATGCCGAGGAGGTAGAGCCTCTGCAATCGTCGCGTAAACGTCTTGCGTTTGATAGTAGCAGCGCTGTGTCCTCTTCAGCTCTGTCTGTAGCCGTGGTGGCGATGTTGACCCGCGAACGTGTCACTTTTGCTGAAGTTGAGTCTGTGTCCGCCTTCGTACCCGATGCTGTCTGTTGCCGTAGACAATCGCGGCCTCGCCGCTCGTGTTTACGTGTCAAGTGTGAAGGAAGGGAATGTGTTCCCCGTCGATGAAAAAAATAATTCAGACGATGTGTGTTACAGCTCAAGGCTGGCGCCCAAACTCAATCGTTCTTGCCTGCCTCCGTTTTCACGACGCGTCCGTCGAAGACTGTCCCGTGAGTTAACATCACAGTGGACACAGCTACTGATGTCTCTGTCGTGTTGCTTCCTTGGATGCAATCCCATCCAACCTTGCTAAATGCGCCACTCAAACCTTTCCCTCCGGCTGCCGTATCCCTTCGACCAGCGAATGGCTCGCCGATAGAGGTCATGGGGTTCACTGATCTTCCATTAACCCTTGGTGGTATCACCCGTATGGTCACGGCTCTTGTCGTCCCCTCCCTGGACCCGATTCAATACTGTTAGACATCAGCAGCGTCACGTCGGATTTTGGTGCGATCCTTGATTGGGAACAACAAACTCTGTCTTTTTCGTCCTCTGGTTTGCCAATACCATGTGTCCACCGCACAACTCGTCCAGTACTTCCACGTAGAAATCGTCGCCACGATCCGAAACCGTCCGTGGCTGCTATTCATAGCGATTCCATCGAAGTCGCTGTGTCCTTGCGTGAACGCGTCGGTACCCCACCGATGCGCGAGGCGCTTGCTGTAGCCTACACTGATTGTCGTCCAGCGGAAGATGGTACAGTCGTTGTCGAACCTCCAATTGTTTCCGAACAAGAGTTGTCCCACGACGAAACACTCAGTCCTTTCAAAAACATTGTCGTGCCCGTACTCTAGCTACATGGCACGCTTCCGATGGATCTGTCGTTGTCCACGTCGCCAATCCTTCCTCAGATGGCGTCCGTCTCTATGATGGTCCATATCTCGGTCAATTGTCCACAGTAACTGTCACTGAACCAGACCAACTTCATGTCATTTCTGTCGCGAACCCACCCGTCACCGGCGACGAACTTCGCCACGCCAAGTCCGAACTCGAAGAGCCTGTCCAAAGCCTTCGACAATACCACGCTCACATCCGAGCACCATCAAGCTGTCCTCAACTTGTGCGCAAATATACCGCCCTGTCTTTTCTCTGTCAATGTCCGAACTAGGCCGCTGCACCATTGCAGAAGTCACGTTCCCGGTGCCACCCGGCACACGTCCTGTCGATCGTCCGCCGTACGGTCCGAATCCCCGAGTCGCAACCGTCTCCGACAAACGTGTCGCCGAAATACTCGATTGGGGAATCATTGAAAAACGGCCCAGCGCATGGGGAAGCCCATGTGCTCTCGTCCCTAAGAAAAACGGCGGTCCCCGTTTCCGCGTAGACTACCGCCATACCCCCAACCGCCACATCGTCCGTAAAACGTGGCCCATGCCTAACCTCGAGTCCTGCCTGGATGCCGTCGGCCAAGTTCTCTACATCACCGTCTTCAACATCCTCAGCGTATTCTGGCAGATCCCCGCGGCGGAAGAGCACGTGAACCGTACTGCGTTCGTCACCCCCTACCGGCGAGTACTGTTTTAAACGCATGCCGTTTGGAGTAACTAGTGCACCTTGGCTTTTCCAACATGTCATGTCTCTCGCTCTAGGTCACCTAGGTCCAGATTCCGGTGTTCTCATGGATGAGTTGATCTGTATCAATCACACGTTCGAAGCTCATCTGTCATCTCTCGAAAAAATGTTCGCAGCATTGCAAGCAGCAGGTCTT